CATGTCTCAGCGGTAAACACCACCCTCAGTAGTTCCCAGGTCGGACTCAGGCAGCCTCTTTGACTCTTTTCTCTCTCTCTCTCTGTGTCTCTCTGGCAATTACGCACCACATTCGGTTGATCCTACCTCTTGTCACCTCATGAACCCAGCCTCACCTCACTGTGGTTTCTCTAATTTGAAGATTTAAGATTTAAGACCAAACTAAAAAAAAATATAGATTGTTTCTTTGGAAAAACTATGTTTAGAATTCATGATCCCAATTTTTTTCTACATTTCTGAAGATCAGTGCTTATTAGAGTCACAATTTTCGACCCTTTTGTGTTAGACATTTGAGGCCCTGGGGTCTGGGGATGTATGTTCTTCCTAAGGTCTGGGGTATATTAGTTGCTCAAAAAGTATTTATGGAATGGAGTGTTTCTCAGAGATTGTATGTATTCTCCATATGTGTTCAGATAGGACAAGAAAAAACACAACATGATGCTTTTAACCCTTAAAGAAATTTCAGGGATGATCATGAAAACACCCTTCCTAAAAAAATATTACTTATACATTTATTCATTCTGCTGCACTAGTACCAAAAAAAAAAAAAAAACCAAACAGATTTCAAGGGAGGCTATGATTTGGCACTGTATATGGAAATTTTTTACGTGAGAAACCCCCTCCATTTAAATAACTAGTATGGGGTCAGTGTGACTAGCTATAACAGGAAGTATTTGAAGAGAAGAAGAGTACAGATATGGAAACTTCTCATTGATAAGACTTACCATTTCTGAGATTTCTTGCCTAAAAAAAAATAGAAAAAATGGCATTAACAAAAAGTAGACAATTTCAATTTTTTGAACTAAGGGAGAAGGGATATGTTCCAACCCTCACGAATGCCTGTTGAGGCCTACCATGCATTTGTTAGGGGGACCTCCATGTGTGATGGGAGGAACTTGAGGCTCTGGCTTGATGCTCTAATTCAAACCGTGGCAGATTCTCAAACAGCAGGCTTCTTCCCAAAGGGGTATGGCTGCTGATACTGTAAGAATATGTGCCATTGTATATCAGCCTCTTCCCAGTGGGATGCACTAGAGACTTTCACTAGGAATTGCATCAAAGTGTCTTGAGTAGCTGACGTTTTTTTACCCTATAGACACAGTGACTGTGGTTGTGATCCTTCTTTTGATTTCCTGCAAGGAAATCTGGGGCCAGAGCCAAGATCCTCACTTCTCAAGTATATAGGATTTTATGACACACAGTTTTGTGTCCTAACTTAACCCTCGGTTCCCAATCTTTTTAGCTAATTTTATTTGCTATGTTGGATGCATTTTGTCAACTGTCTTATATGCTTTTGGAAAAAAGCAGAATATAAATAAGCAAATTAATGAGTGGTCTACAGAGTTCGGGTCTGGAGGAAATCAAGCAAAAGAAAAAGAAACAGTGAGCTCTTGGAAGAGACAGAATCATGAGGGTGGGGCTGCACGTTTCAGTGGCTGTAAACTGGCACACTAGAGGCACCCCACCCAGGTGCAAGCCCTATTTTGCCACCTGTGTGTAGCGTGGTGTTTTGAACTCGTTCTCTGTAAGCCACAATTTCTTCATCTGTAAAAGGGGGACAATGATTGCTGCTTCCTCAGCAGCAGTTATGCTGGTTCAAAGCGTCCAGGCCAGGGCTTACCACAGACAATGCTCACCTACTGTTTTAATCCTTTCAAGTGTCAGGAATTATGACTTTAAATCCTTTCTGCCAAAATCAGCCTGCTGATGACATGGGCCAAATTCACTTGATCAGGGAGAATCAAGTCTGAATTAACTTCAAGTTCCATTTGTTTATCTTGATAGAAATATATTTTTTTTTCTTTTAGGAACAGTAAATGAACAATAGATGACAAAAAATCTGTTCCTACTGAGAAAGTTTCTATTTGAAGAAAAGGGAACTAAGGGGCCATATGTTCAGTTTCATGCCCTGTCCTAACCCTGCATGTTGGTTCAGATGGAAAATTGAACTGAGAAAAGAACAGTCTTATGAATCTGAAGGCTAGTTCTTTTGGGGAACATATCTGGATGGGAGTCTGACCTCTGACCCTAATCCCTGCTAAGAGATTTTGGAGATTTGGTCTAAAAAAAATCATTGCCTCTATTTCTTCTTTGCCAAGAGGCTAGTGGTTGTGACTTCTCAGGAATGATGGTGTCAGGAGCAGTGTGTCTGGATGGGCCCTACAAAGCACAGCAGATTTGGGGAGCCTTCCCTCCTGTGTACAGGAAAAGAGAGCTACAGTCTGGATACCAAGACTCCTAGGGAGGGGCAGTGCAAGGTTTGGAGCATCCAACTAAGAAGGACAGGGATCACTTCCTTGGCCAGCATGCTCTAAATTGTCATCTGTCCTCATCTTCAGATTTCTGAATCCAATAAAAATTAGAAAATTCTTGGAAGACTAAATATCATATATACACAGAGATTATTCTTTACTTTTATCCTTGTAAATGCATTAATTAAAGGTCTGTGAATTGAGGCTAGGGACATAGCTACCATTTATAACATTGTCTCTATAATATCCTTCATGTTTTAAAGAACCAACTTACAACTAAAACTTTGGAAGAGAAAGCCACTTATATGAAAGTCAGAGATCCTGGTAGAAGATTCACAAATGGAGACATCTACATGTTGCATTAACTCTGACTTCCCACAGAGTCAGGGATCTCTGGGGCTCTGGCTCTTGGTGGCATAACTGTAACTAGCCTAAGTGCCCGTTATCTGTTTCCTGTTTGCCCCATACTGATTCCCACAGCAGGGGCATGCAGTTTTCAAGTTATCAGATTGAGATCTTGTACAGAAATGACTCCCAGGTAAAAAACGTAAAAAACAATCCTACTGCCTTTCTCACCTACTCATACAAGAGTCTTAGCCAGCTCACCCCTCAAGAAAAACGCATGACCTTGATTCTATTCTTTGAATTTCCGGCTAAAAGCTAAGAATTTGGAGACAAGCATCCTCCTTATAAAGGTGACTTTCATCCCCAAAGTCCTTAAAATTCCACATCCAGGGCAGGGCACATCCCAGGGCAGGGCACAGGTGTAACTAACACTCTATTCTCCAGCCCCTGGCTCTGCCCTCATCACCCAAGGCAGGAAGAAAGAAAGGACAGTTGAGGTCAGGCTTGGACGTCTCCATGGAAGGAATGGTCACTGGTGACAGGCAGCTGTCACTCTTCTTTCCCCAAGAACTGAGGGAATGTGATGGTGGAATCCAGTCCCTTGGAATTCACAGCAGCAGGGAGGACACTGTGTCTGCTCAGTGCTCTCAGGTTTTAGTTACTGAGGTTCTTCCTCCCAGGTTGTGCCCCCTCCATGTCTTTCAGGTTGGTGAGAAAATGAATCTGGCATCTCCTTAACTGTGGATGAAAGATTGGAGCAGAGTGCAGGACCATGGACTGGAGGAGAAGATTCCTGGAATTGCCACTGTGCATGGCATCCCACATCCAGTGACAGAACACATGCTGCCTTACTGGAAGGAAGGGAAACTTAAATGTCAACTCATTGATGCCACAGAGAGTTAGCACAGAGGAGTTGGTCTGCACTTGCTTTGAAGCTGTCCATGGCCCCTGAACTTGAAACAGGTGTATCTTAAAAGCTGCCCAGTGCCTGTGAGTTGTAGCTGTGAATGGTTCTGCCAAGGGAGTCGGCCACATGTGGCAGTGAACACCAAGGCCTGCTGCAGACTCTTGCCCACCTTCAGGGGTGGGCCCTGCAGGGGGCAACGGGGAGTGACACTGTGTGCCTCTCTGCTCTGCTGATGTTCCACTCTGAGTCCAGGAAGCAGACAGTAGCTGCTCAGGGCAGTCCTGCTCTGCCTTCTCCTTTCCAGCCCAGGCTGGAGGTCGGTGCACATGGAGTTATTGGTTACAGCTGTGGCCTTCCTTGGTGATAGCAGGGAGAGGATGGGGGGTTTCCCCCAGGGACAGTCCAGAAACAGACAGGACTGGGACTCTTCAAGAAGTCAGGCTTTTGAGAGCAGCACCTGAAAACCTTAGTGGATGTTAGGTTCACTTCTCAGTGAAACTGTAAAACTGAAATCAGAGGCATGTAGGTGCTTAGAGGACAGAGATTATGCCTTCCTATCTCACAGTTAAATAAGAGTAAACATCTCAGTTAGTTGTTATCCCCCTAGCAAGATGTCTTCAATATAATAGGCATTTTCAAAATTTGCCTAATGAAAAATAAGTCAGTCAGCCTGCTTTAATGGAGGTGTGTCCTGGGTTGATTGTCTATAGAACTTTAAGCTTGGCATCCTGCTTCAATTGAATCTATTACACTCAATTTCCTGTGAGCCTCTTTCTTTCCTTTTTTCTCTTTAAATCTGTGTTATTTTCATAAGCATTTAAAATCACATACCTTTTCTTAATCGCCTTGCCAACCAAATGATAAATGCCAACCCAGAGAATGCAGTGACTATGACTGCCACAGGTATGAAGAGGGGATTATAGTCACCTTCCTTTATCATGGAGAAACTTCTGTCTGATTCTGAAACAGAAGGTAGGAAGGCACACATGAGATCACAGCATCATTTCCTTGGTGCAGCTCCTAATTCTTGACATTTTCCCTCCTGGCTTCCCATTACAGCCTCTTGATGACCATGACAAATCTGATGCAGGGGAAAGCCCCCCAGGAGTCTACTGGAGAAGGGAAATTTAAACATCAATCAATTGATTGACAGAGGAGTTGGTCTGAAGCAGACTGGCCCAGCCTTTAGCCTAGTGCCTAGAGATTCTCTGTCGCCTGATGGGTGTTTGGTAGAATTCCTGGGAATGTCTACAAAATCTTGGCAAGAAAAAGTTATCATTGTATTGAGGCCATGGCTTTGTCAAAGGTTGGACCTCAAACACGGAGAAGATCTACAAAGTCAGATACAGCTTGAGGAAAAAGAGAAGCCAATGATTGACCTGGGAAACTTGTCAAAGGAAACTACTAGTGTTTTTACTTTAAGCACACGTGCAATCGTAAGCACTAGAGTTTATGTACCAAGACCTGCAGTGTTCTATCAAGTGATGTAGGCCTACCACCTCCTTCCACTTCCTTCCCCAACAAGGAAAAGGACTCAGTTACACATCCTTTGTGAATATAAACTCAGTCCATTTGCAGTTTCATTTTTATTGAAAAAGTTCCAATGTGAGAAACCTGCCTTGGATACCTCCTGATGAAGGAAGCTACCTTCCCATGTTGGCACAGGGTCCAACTGGGGCCCTTGATCCTCGAGCTGCTTTGCTGAGCACTCACACAGTGCCTCCACCCGACTCTCAAATACAGGATGCTGAGAGGCTGAAGTTCCCAGAGGTACCAAACAGGCACCTGTTGGCTTGAGGAAGATGAGGGAATGGATGCTAGCCAGGCTGCAAAGCAAACGTACCCGACAACCTGAGGCTCAGAGGCCTTCTTGCCGCTCCTCTGCCTGCCCCACTGCACTCTAGACACACAGAGGTTAGCTTTTCTAGTGACTTCAACAGACCCCAACCCAGAAGGCCCTCTGTAGCCTGTGCAGATGGCATGTGGGGCAGACCTCATGGCCATCCTCTCATATGCTAATTTAATGTGCCTTTGATCCAGCAAGTGTTGCTGGCACCTGTCAGGTGGAGGAGAGAGGAAGGTGAAGAAGACAGTCCTGCTCTTGCTCAGACTTGGGAGACATCAGCTGAGGGGCAAGTGAGAAGAATCCATGATTTGGGGAATTAGATGGCCATGGATGACCTCTGAGGAGGCATTTCAAGGGACTAACAGAGAAGAGAAGTCAGAGAGCAGAGGAAGAGAACAATGGAGAAGAGCTAAGTCACAGAGACAGCGGGTTAGATTTTAAAAGTTCAGACAGGAAGTGTTGAGAATGAAAAACAGAAATGGCTGTCACTAGAGGAGAAGACAAGGACAGCCAAGCATTTTATAGTAAAGTAATGCATACAAACTTGTATTGTACAAAATGAAGCATCAAGTTTAGTAGATGTGTCCCACTGTCTGTGTGTCCATCAGCCCATCTTCAAGTCTTCTGTGTATTGGGCGAACTTACGTTGACATATTGGATGAGGACTGGACCAGATTCCAGAGGATCCACAAACAGTTCTCTTCTCCCCAATTAGCTCGGTTCCCTCTGAGCAGCTGAAGGTGCACGTGGAGGTAAAACTGAAGTTGGCCAGGGGGTGAGTGCAGTCCATGGACCCCAAGTCAGGTGCTGTCAGAGGCTCACACTGAATCACTTCAATGGAAAAGAAAGAACAGAAGAACTCAAGATAGTACTTCGGAGCAGAGAACTTCTCCCTTGACCAAAGATTTTTAGCCAAAGCCATCTGACCTAAGATGGGACCATCCACAGGCATATAGCAGTCCCCATTTCTAGACGTTACTTCTGGTGATGCTTCTAGACTTTATCTTCTTGGAATGGTGATGAGTGGTAGGTTGGGGGTGAAGCCCCAGCAGCCCTGATGAAGCAGCAGGGCACACACCTTGCCTAACAGCACCCTGGAGTATTCTCACAAATGTGCAGAATCTCCACCTTCTCTCCTGTTGTAGAGCTCACTCAGGAAGCTTTGAAAAACATCCCAACTCTACAATCCCAATTCTGTAAAATTTGGTAGATGGACTTTGAGAAAGGATGTTGATGTTTCTTTTAAGAACTGAACTATTAAACCAGTGTTTCAGGAGGATAAATGTAGAAAATGTCATCAGAACTTCCCACATGCAGACAACCACCAATATTCTTCCATGTGCGGATAATCTTTTCAGTTAAAAAGGAAAATAAAAACCCCTTAATTTCAAATGTAAAATGATGAAGAGATTGGTTTGTTTTTCAAAGAACTTATTCTCCTGTGAGTTTAAGGATGGGAAACATAAAGATAATCTTAGGAAACACCAAATTTAAAAATCAAGAAAGAATTCCATCGTGGGATGAAAATTCTTTGGTGTTAAGTAGGACACCAACTAGTAGATATCATTGACACGAGAGGAACAAAATTTATTCCTCAGCAAGACTGCTCATGCCATGGCAATGAGGAAAATAAAAAATACAATATCGCTGTGTTGTATTGCTCTAAACAGGCTATACAGTGTTAGATGACTGTAGAGACCATATTTTTGTTTGGGGGGATTATTTTTAATTTTAGTAAGAATAACCCCTTAGAAAAGCTTCACAGCACAATCTAAGGTTACAGCACACTCTTAAAGAGGATGCAGATTTCTTAGCAAGTCTCTGCTACATCTTCTCGGACTGTAAACCCAGGAGTACCATGGCCAAACCTGGAGTTACTCACCATGACAGGTTGGTTCTAGAGATGACCAGTTTCCCAAAGGGCCACAGTGTGTTTCCTCCATCCCATTTAGGTTTGTTCCCTCAGAGCAGTTGAAGGCACACTGCGATCCGAAGCTGAAGGCTCCCAAAGGGTGAGTGCAGTCCATGCTGCCCAGCTCTGGGGCCTCCAAAGCCTCACACTGGACCACTTCAGTAAGGAAGAGACAGTGTTGGGAAGGGTTAAGAGGGCCTGATAGATTTGATTCGTACCACTGCCATTTAATAGCCATGTGTCTGTCTTAGAGTCCAAAGAAATATTTCTGAAAGAAATGGTCCCTGAACTATGTATTCAAAATGAACTGTTGTGTTGGCTATTTATGAAATGATAGACAGGGTCATGAGCAGAGTCAGTGAGATAAAAAGCCTGTTTGGTAAGTGGAGAACAAGTATTTTGATGTTACTAGCAAGAAGAGAATGATGTGAGATGAGTCTAGGAAGAAAGATAGGACTTAACGAGGATCTCTTATATATTAAGGATTACTCTAGGCCTTGAGAGGCTTAAATTTCATCCTGTAGGAGAAATGTTAGGCACAAATATAAGGGTAGATGGTCACATGTGTGCTGTTTGATTACTTTTAATTGTCTACCTGCCTGTGGTACATTTGAGGAGAGCTAATTTAAAGTTGGAGAGCTCATCTAGTAGACTACTGCAGTCATTTAGGAGAAAAACATGTGGGTAATGATATAAGAGTTGACAGGAGACATATTGGAAATTTATAAGTCCTGCATATTAGTGTGCATTACCTTGCATCAAACATTGGGGGAGGTGAGAGTCTCACAGTGTCCATGTACACAGTGGTTTCATGTTCCAGCTCTAGAACATGGTTTATCTCACACTGAGGTAAAGTTACAGAAAGGGAAGCCAGCTGGGACAGTGGACTTTATAGGCTTTTGGACATCACAAAAGAAATCCTTAGCATATTTGGAGTTGAGGGCTAGAGACAGATTTCTCAGTTCAAAGACCAGATAGACTTGTGGGTTAACAAAAGTCAGTAAATTTGACCAAAGGGAACATGCAGAGTCAGAAGCACCACAGGAAAAAAAGACAGAAGTTGAGAAATAATAACAGAAGTTGAGCTGGGATTATTGCTTATGTAGGAACCCGAAGAATGATGTTCAGTGGAACAGAAAGATTGGCATAATGGAAAGCAAGACAAAAACAAAACAAACAAAAACCTACAATTTTTTAAAGTAGGGAAATGGGAATACACTTACATAAGGCTTAAAAAATAAAGTTCCAGAACAGGAGTAAAATTTTAGGTACCAGTCCTGGCTCAGAGATTAAGAAAAATGAGTTGGATCTATTCCAGTCAGTTGACATCTGAATCCACTTTGGCTTTAAGTCATATTCTTTACAAATATTGCTTTTGTCAATAATTTTCTATTCTATACATCAGACACTTAAAACTTATTCTGAAACTACCAACATCAGTCACAGTATCGCGTGTCTCCTTCAGTAGTGGGTGGCAGGGTCAAGGCCTGGCTTTAACCTGGGTGTTCCCTCCTTTCCATTTCCACCTCCTTGCCTCTGAGTGACTGACAAAGACCAGGAAGAGCCACTCCATCGCCCACCATGTGCTTCCAGGTTAACTGCCCACTTGCCGGGGAAGACGCTAAGGAGCTGCTCACTGCAGATAAGGCTGGGCTCCTTCACCAGCAGCTCCAGGCCCTGGGCTCACTGCAGCTTGTCTCCCTCACACTCAATTGTGAACAGATAAGATTTCCCTTAACTAACCAAAAATCCTTTAAGGGAAGGTTTTATGACAGATCTTCCATGGTGTTCTCCTGAAATACTTAGCCCAAGTGAACATGGAGAATTTGCTGTTACACATCTCTGACATACGCTATGAATCATCATGAACTTTTCTCCTGGCTTTCCCTGTCATCACTTTATAAAAAAGTGAGATTGCCTTCTGGGTAACTCTCTCCTAAGGGTAAAGTGTACAGTTTCTTTCAGATTTTAGATTCCAATTAATAGATCAAGCGCATCAGATTGTGAGCTCCCTGAGAGCAGGAATCAACCCTCACCTGACCCCTTACTGTAGAGCTCAATGCTTGCACTCCACACCTGGTTTCTTATGGTAATCAGAAACACTTATGTTCTGGGAGTGGTGGCCCAAGCCTCTAATACCAGATTCTGGAGACAGAGGCAGGAGGACTGCAAGTTTAAAGCCAGCCTCAGCAATTTACTAAGACCCTCAGCTACTCAGTAAGAGACCCTGTCTTAAACAAACAAACAAACAAACAAAACCCTGTGGATGTAGCTCAGTGAAAGAGTGTCCTTGGGGTCAATCCCTACTACAAAACCAAAACAAAACCACTTCACACTGCCTTGTGAAACCTTTGCAGTAAATGATTGCAAAAGCATAACTTCTGATCACAACTTCCCAATTCTCAGAATGGCTAGTATCATTTCGTCCCAACCAACTTCCATCATAAGCTACAGTGAGTCTTGTTACTTGCAAAGGAGTGAAGGGGCTTACCAAACTGACACTGGGGCCCATAGTGTCCAGCATCACAGTTACAGGTGTAATTGTTGATGGTTTCCACGCATTCTCCGTGGCCACTGCATGACCAAGGCTGGCAAGAAGCTTTAAGAGGGTCAGAGAAACAATGTCTCAATTGATTGCCTTTTAGGATTAATAGATATTTCTTTAGTCATAGGTAACTGTTTATCCCACAATATTTTAATAAGCAGAAAAGGTTTATTTATACGTTCAAAGCACTTTTGCATAAAAATCACATGCTAAAATTTCAGTTTATAAAATATGCTAGGCATACAGCCCAGGACACATGTGCTTTTAAAGTCAACTTGCTGAGAGTAACATGCTGACACCTGGGGAGATGTTGCTTAGGCTGCTTACACTGAAACTCTTGAAATGGCTGGCTTTCAGTGTAATGATGGGTAAATGAAGGCTGGGCCTCACCCACCTCTGCACTGTGCTTGGAGTCCTTCCTTAAGATAAAAAGTCCAAATTTCTAAAGGAGCAGAGATTCCAGTTTACGAGGAACCAAATGAACCATGTTTCAGTGATAAAATCCTAAAATCCGGCTTGGAAAAATCCTGGCTGGGCTGGAACTGTTGTGACAGCCACCCAACAAGCCTGTGCAGTGTTGTGCCAGGAGGTCACGGAGGCAGCTTTCAGCCCAGGCTCCTGCTGCTTTACAAGGAGGACACAGGCCAGGTGAGCCCAGCTCTCAGCCAGCCCTGCTCTTGGTGTCCACTTCCTGCCCTCCATCAGGGGCCCTGGCTGTCTAACTCCTCCTCCCTGCCTCCCATATAATGTACTTAGCACCTGGATGGGACGTGAATTAGGGGTATGGATGTGGGGTGTAGGAACTGGCTTCACACACCAGAAATGCTCAGCAGTGACCTGATCCATGCCTAGTTGGGGGACAGGAAGCAGATCAGAGTGAGCTAGCTCCTGCTCCCCTTCCCAGCACTCCCATGGGGTAGGTCTGATTATTCTAGCTCAGGTCTTCCTCGTGGCCTGGTCTCCCACCTGTGTAGCAGAGGGCTGCCTTTCGTTTGTGGCAGGCATCGTCATTCCATTTGCCTGAGTCTTTTGTCCTCTTGATGTAGATCTCCACGCAGTCCTCTTTGGATTTCTTGTTGTTGGGCTCCCCAGTTCCCCAGTTCTCTGCTTCTTCAGTGAGAGGCTTGTTGGTTCCCACCCATGTCCATATGTTTCCTATCTTCCGGATTCCTATCCAGTAGTAAAAACGGTTGAAGGGCACTGTCTTCTCCAGGTACTCAATTTCTCTCTTATTTTGTATGGCAACTAAATCTGTGTACTTTTCTTTGCAGAAGTTTCTAGCACTTTGCCAGTTCATGAGTTTTTCAGAATAGTGGTAGGTCCAACAGTCAGTTCCATGATGTGCCAGGAATTCTGAAAGACAGAGCAGGAAGCATGTCTACTCAAGTGTTTCAGCTGAGAAGAGCCCAGCTCTTGTCTCCAGGCTGAGCTGCCACTCAGAGAGGAGGAGCTGAGGGCCCAGGAGGGTAAGTGACCGCTCAGTATCAAGCCCTAGTTGTTAGCAGATGGGAAGCAGAACCCAGACGTCTGCTTGAACATGGGATGTCTTCCTCGTGGCATTGTTTTATATGGACACAATGGTTTTCTAGGTCTATTTTTGTAAAATGTTTATTTTTTCTCAAAATTCCTTTATGTGAAATTTAATTAGCATTTTAGAAATTCAAATTTCATTTTTTTATTATCAGTCATTTAAAGTTAATATGACATATAACCAATATCATATAACTAATATTTACAGTCTATTATTTTATCCTAGGATGAACCCATTTTCTCCTTTCTCCTAAATGAGAAGCAAAATTAGGACAGAAAGAACCTTGACATATTTTCCTGTACTTTCTTTCATTTCCAAAAAAACCTTTTTTTAAAAAAAACAGGGAAAACTTGTTGTGGTCCAAGACATATAGACCTAATCACATAGTAATAAAGGCTAATTTACAAATTCAATTATGTAGAATTGTAAAATTGATCACATCAGTTTCTGTATGCAGAGTGACTCGGCTGTTGGTGTTTAATAAACATATGGATGTTTCAAATAGGAGGGCCTTGAAAGAATGAAATTAAACACACAGTAGACCCCGCCCCGTGATGTGCACCATTCTAAGCATGGCAGGATCTATGAGAAATTCGACTATTTAGGAAAGTAAACCCCCCAAAGCTTTCAGCCTACGTGGAATTGTCTTTGGGAGGGCGACTATATTAGAGAAACACCAGCATAGCTTAGGGCCAGTTCTCACGGCCTCCCAAGGGTTCTGGGAAAGGAAGGTCAGGGGAAAAGGAAATGTAATTAATCTTGGTCAAACACGTCAGAAATGATCAGAGAACTAGGACATATATGACCAATGGGAAAAGAGCACCTGCAGTGACCTCTGAACTGGTTGGGAGGAGCCATTCCACTGCAATGCCTGTTCTACCATGGGAGAGGCTGCTGTAGCCACTCTGCAAATAGTGTCTATATGTTGGGGCAACTCAAAGGGCTCTTGAAAAATGAGAGGAACGCTGGGCTCCCTGAGTTGCCAGGTGGCCAGGTGTATGCTGTCAGATGTGATTGGTTGATCAAAGCCGAAAGTTCAGGTGAGGGAGGAAGAAGACATTTATGTACTTGGAATGGGGAAGGGTCCCAGCTATGGCTGGAGCATCTTGAGACTCACTGAAACTTTGTAACATCACTGAGAGGAGGACCATAAAGGGGACCTAAGTCCCCTGCCCTGAAGGAGTTCACATTGGAACTGCAGAAATTGATTTGAAGTACACTGACATATTAACAGAAAAGCCAGTGCTAAATAATGGTGCAGTGTCTTACTACAGATTTCCTATTTAACCTTATTCCTTTTCCATTGAAAGTTTCTTTGGGGATTGTCGGGATTTGGAGTCTGCAGCACAGGCTGTGGCAGGCAAGATTGGGGTTAGAGGTTCCTGGAGAAGTACCGAGGGCTTGAGGAAGAAGAGAGAGGTCACAGAGGAATGGAATTGGTAACAATTTTCCCTGCATCTATGCACACTCAGTGGATATTTGAGAAAATGAACATAAATTAAAAGGCCTAGCAATGTGTGGCTGTCACAACATACCCCAGCAGAGCACTGTCCAGATCCACAACTTGGTGATCCACAAGCCCCTCTGTACACTCTGACATTTCCTTGGAAATATCTACAATAAAACACAGGACAATTTAGATTGGAGACAGGTTTAAAGCACCTGGGAGGGGTGGGGTACCTGCAACTTTCTGAAAGTTCCAGATAAAACACACAAATGCACAAACCCTGTCCCCCATCAGAGGTTTCCCAGACAAGGGAGAAAATGTCACACCAAATCTACCCAAACCTCCTGCAGTTTTGTTCCATTTTGATTTCATGTTTCAGTCTCAAATTGCTGATCATCATTGCTCTGATGCTTTTCTATAGCCCAGTAATTTTTGTGCCTGCTTGTCTATGGAGCTATCAGGTCAAATTACTGAATATTTGTATATTTGTTAAGTCTTCCTTGGTGCTTAATGACCTTTGGTGTATAGATCGACTGCTGTCTTCTCACACTTGATCTTGATCAGTCAATGCTTCAAATACCTAAGAGAATTACATAACCAGACTCCAGAGAAGCAAAGCAGTTCATTTTCTTTTTTAAATAAGAAATAAACTTTTGAGAACTGAATGACAGCATCCCAGGTTCTCTGTAGCCCTGAGGGCCATGTTTTCTGCAGAGGACACCTCTCTGGCAGCACCGTGTTTCACTGCCCAAGCACCACTTCCCTCTCACCAGAGACTCTCAGGGGAGGACATTGGCCACCTGACACCCTAGGATCACATTCTGAGACTGAGAGCATTTTTGGTTTCTGCATGTTAAAAACCAAAAATGAAATGGCTTGTTTCTTGTCCCGTGCCCCCTGCCCCTCCAGCCCCAGGAGAGTTTCTGCGTGTCTGGAATCTCTGGGCCAAAGGCTCACCATGGCTTTGCTGGCTCCTTCTCTGGCTCCACAGCCTTCAGCCTCTGCACTCAGCACCTGGGCTCTCTGGGTCCTTGTGGAGGGAGCCTGCTTGCTCCAGGGGAGGGCTCTGAGTGTCACCAGCAGGGCTCTCTCCACCCAGTCTCACATCCTCCTCCCTCCTCCCTCCCCTTCCTCCTCTTCTTCTCTCACCTCTTCCCCCACCCCTTTCCTTAGCTGGCCTCTGCCCCTCTCCCTGGGTCCAGTGAGGTGTTGAGGTTGGATTCTGCTTCCTCTCCCACTTCCATCTTCCTCCCTCTTTCCCTTGTCCTGTGCTTCCTTCCTTCCCTTCTGCTGCCCCCCTTTATTGTTCTCATGCTGTTGTCTTCTTCCTCCTCCTCCTCCTCTTCCTCCTCCTCCTCTTCTTCCTCCTTGTCCTCTCCCTCCTCCTCCTCCTCCTCCCCCTCCCTCCTCTCTCTCCTTATTAATGCTAGACTAACCCCTGACTATCCATTGTAGGTGGTCCTTGTAATGCCACAGTTCAGAATTCTATTCCAGACAATTTAAGGTGTCTGTCACCCTTCAGTAGAGCTGCCTGATCCGCTTGATAAAATCCAGTTCCTTCTCCTCCTTTCCTTGCTTGCCACCTAGTGGACGAGCTTGTGAATGGCACCCCCTGAAGTGAATCACTTTTTGTCCTGGGGAGGTTTGGGGTCCCAAGAGTATCTTTATATTTCTGACGTATAAAATGTGAAGGAAATAAGACTGCATATGGAGTCAGAACTCATATGATGAAAGACAATTAAAAAGAAGAGTCAATGACATCAGATTTGCATTTTAAGAAAGATAATGATGATGGGCTATAGACATCAGTACTCCATATTAATTACCTTATTAAATTGTTATAAACATAGTATTCTGTGAGAAACTTTAGTATTTCCCATTTTAAAGAGTATCAAAGAGAGTAAAAAAGTTACCTCAGAATATATCTGGTGAGAGACACAGTTGGAGTTTGGAACTGGGCCGTCAGTTGAACCTGATGCCCTTGACCACTAATCTGAGCTTCCAACAAGACTTTGAGGACATGTGAAAGTGGGGACAATGTGGAGTCGAGGAGTCCTGTGAAATGTCAAAATCAAAGGTCTCCAAGTCCTCTCCTCCAGCTGCTCTGCAGCTTGAGCCAGTCGGGCCTACACCACACCAGTTAACAGTTCATCATGAACTTTTCTCCTGGCTTTCCCTGTCATCACTAGCCAACACTTCACTAATGGTGGAAGTTTTTCCTACCCTTGGCACTGAAGATTCAAGCAGAAAAAAATAGTGTTATTGGAACTAATAAGCCCTGCAACCCTGGAGGAAAAGCTAGTCCTCAGGAGTGGTAGTAGAGGAAGCAGGCAGGTACCTCCAAACCAGGGAGAGTGGTAAGAAATCCCTTTGCCTCCCACCTCCCACTCCCTGGTTTCTTCCAGGAGCCTCTTAGCCAAGCCTATTGCAAACCAACCCACAGTGATGAAATGTCACAATGTACGGGGTCAGCCATGTGGAGGAGAGCATAGAGGGGAGAGGGTGGATGGGGGCAGAGTAGGTGAGAGTGAGAGGGCAGAAGATGAGAAGCCTTGTCCTCTTCTGCTCAAAGCCCTCCAGGGGCTTCCTATCCCACTCAGAGCAAAATCTTGAGTCCTTGCTTTGCCCTTTGAGGTCCTGCGTGATCTGCTCCCTCATCCTTTTTGTCTGAGATTTCCAACAGTTGATTATAATTCATCTAGTGCTTTTAAGTGTTGCAGTGGTAAGGGTTCTCAGGATATCAGTTGTTTGGCTCAACATTTTTGTCACTGTGACTAAAGAACCTGACAAGAACAACATAGAGACGGAAAGTTTATTTTGGCTCATGGTTTCAGAGATCAGTCCATGGTCAGCTGACTCCATGGCTCTGGGCCCCAGGTGAGGTAGGACATCATGGCAGAAAGATGTGTCAGAGGAAAACATCTCAGGACATGGAAACCATGAAGGGGAGGGGGGGTCTCTGCTCAAAGGCATGCCACCAGTGTCATTATTCCTCCAGCCACCCCTGCCTGTATATAGCTACAGCCCAGTTACTCTGTAGTGGGGTTAATCCCCTGATTAGATTACCCTCTCATGATAAAATCACTTCACTTCTAAAAATTCTGGAATTGTCTCACAGATGAGCTTTTAGGGGACACCTTATATCTAAGCCATAACATCAGTCCTCAGTATTTCCAGGTCTGATACTCAGTAAATATCAGCTAAACAAAAACATGAGTGGACAACTTTAAAACATTTTTTTTTTGGTCATAAAATACATATGTTCTTTTCCTTTAGCAAATATTTTACTTTCTTTTTATTGTTGTTGTTTGTTCTTAGTCTTTTATTTTGTCTTTGTTATTCTGTTTGTTTGATGCACATTTCTATTCTTTTGAATCAGACAAACACAGAGTTCTCTTCTGAAGGCCAGTTTGTATCTCTGGCAGCCAGACAGGTTTGTTCGGGCCCCGAGTTGCATCAGGAGCTTTCCATGAGTTCAGGCCTGGGAAGGGGGTCTTAGAGAGAGAGGTGATTATTTAGTGAACATTGTTAAATACATAAATAGTTGATTTACTTTCTGTACATTTTAAATTCTCTCTGTATATGAGTTAGATTTCTAGCTACTTGGACCACATCAATCTAGCCCTGCACTGAGTCCATTCAGAGCTGTGGCTTTTGAATCTCAGCAAAGTTATTTTTCATGTGTTCATTTGAATCATGTGGATTGATCTTGTGTTTGTCAAACACAGTTTTCCTGAGAACACAGTGAGAGACGTGGGGTAGAGTTAGAGCGTGTATGTGACGCCATGGGATGTTATTCTGCCTCTCAAGGAATGCAGTCCTGGCACTGGTGTAACAGGAACCAGAGCTGAAACCATGCTAAGTGAGAGAAGCCAGGCAGGGAGGCCGCACCCTGGACAAGTCCATTCTGTGGGATACCTGGAACAGGAGGAGCCACAGAGCAGAAGCTGGCCTGCAGGCCCACGGTGCTGAGGGAGCAGGTGACAGGGCTTTTCATGGAAGTGCTTTGGAACTAGGACAGGGGCTGGTCGCACAGTGCTGTGGAGGTGCTGGACTGTCCCCCTCATCACGGCTGCGTTTCATCACACAAACTTCAGCTCAATGTGGAAATTGAGCCAAGTGTGCACTGAGCTTGAAGAGAGGAGCTGTGGCAGCAGAGTCACAGGCACCTGTCAGCAGCCACTTGAAGGGCTGCAAGAGAAGGGGCTTACTGGGCTGTGCCACCAGGTGGGGCTGGTGGCATGACAACCCACCACTCCCTGAGGGAGGAGCCACTGCTGGAAGGCCAGTGACCACCTGAGGGTGGAGGGAGAAGCCTCTGGGGGCCACTGAGAGCAGCATCCTAGGACCACAAAAGAACCATCGCCCCGGCTTTCCCAGCCTGCCCCTCAGAGGGCCTCAGCTCCATCGCTCCTCGCCCAGCAAAGAGCTCCTTGCCCAGCAGTCCCCTCAGGTGCCTGGGAGGAAGGGTATGCAGCCCACCCACAGCCACAGTCCTCCCTCCAGGCCACCGTGGGACCCCTCCTCAGATGCCTCCCCTCCACAGCCCTATCCAAACACCTCCACACGGCTCAGAGCGCCTCTCCCTGCACCTGGGGTCAGGCCACCTCCTGGACGGTTCACCACACTCCTGTCTCCACACAGCCTCGAGGTCCTTCCCAGATGCTCCCCTGCTGCCCCTGGAACTCCTGCTTCACAGTCGGCAAGCTCACCCCTATGCTGCAGTTCTCCCAAACCTCCTCTACCTTCCTCCATAGCAACCGCTGCCTCCTGGGGACATGTCTCCCCTGCAGATCTCTCAGGACAGTGACATTTTCTCCACACTCTGCAGGGTGGGCCTCCTGCTTTCTGATGGGGCCCTTTTACACACCTTTGTTCCCCACCACACTGGAAAGAAAAGGAAGCAGCAATCAAATAACCCAGGATCTCTGAAGCTCACCGCACCAGGATGCGCCATCTTGTCACTGTCCTCATGGTGGTGACCCCAATTCCTCATGCACTGGTGGCTTTGGCACCTGGCTCCTGGTCCTCCTGTCCCTGGAAGCACCTCCCACAGCCATTTGTGACTGCACCATGCACTGAACACCTGTCCCACAGCAGGATCCTCACTCTCTAAGTCAAGGTCAGCCACCCCTCCCTGAGCACAGCCTCCACCTTGACACCTCAGGAGACTTCAGCATCTCTAAAGTCACATGATCAAGACGTTCTCCCACTACCTCTGTCCCTGTTCCTGCTGGCTTGTTGCTCAATATCTCACTGTGATGCCTTTATTCCTACCCCATTGACCCCCAACCTGTTAACTCACCCCCCACTCCTTTTTATTTCACCGTGGGACTCATTTTTAGTTTTTTTGTTTTGTAGTTTGATGTAATCTCATTTGTTGCTTTTTTGCTTTTGTTTTATGGGCTTTTGGGGGGCATTGCCTGTACCAATTTCTTGAAGTGTTTCACCTATTTTTTAATAGTTTAAGTTTTTATAATTATATTGAAATCTTTTATCCATTTAGTTTGTTTTTGTGTAGGTAAGAGGTTAATTTTCAATCTTTGGCTTGTGGATAATCAGTTCACCCAGCTCTCTTTCTTGAAGAGTTTATTCTTGCTCCAGTGTGTGTTTTTGGCCTCTTTATCAAGAAACAATGGGATTTAAATGAGTAGGTATATTTCTCAGATCTCTATTCTGTTACTTTGGTATTTGTTCCTCTCTCTCTTTTCCAAATTTTTTTGTTTCTTTTAGTTATACATGACAGTGGAATGTATTTTGGTATATCATACATACATAATGTATAGCTTGAAGGCATTTTTGTGGATGTACATGATGTGGAGTTACACTGGTTGTGTATTCATATAAGAACTTAGGAAAGTTGTGTTGGATTCATTCTACTGTCGTTTCCATTCTCATTCCCCCTTCCTTCCTTTCATTCCCCTTTCTCTAATCCAGTTAATTTCTATTCTTCCCTCTCCCTCTCAGTTTATTGTGTGTTAGCAACCACATACCAGAGAGAACATTTGGTTTTGGGGGACTGGCTTACTTCACTTAGCATGATAGTCTCCAACTCCATCCATTTACCAGCAGATGTCATCATTTCACTTTTCTTTATAGCTGAGTAATATTCCATCCTATTTATGTACCACATTTTCTTTATCCATTCATTTGTTGAAAGGCAGCTAGGTTTGTTCCATAGCTTAGCTATTGTGAATTGAGCTGCTACAAATGTTGATGTGGCCACGTCACTATAGTATGCTGATTTTAAATCTGTTGGGTATATGCCAAGAAGTGGGATAGCTGGGTCAAATGATGGTTCCATTCCAAGTTTTCTGAGGAATCATCTTACTGCTTTCCAAAGTAGTTGCACCAATTTGCACTCCTACCAGCAATGTACGAGTGTACATTTTCCCCCACATCCTCACCAACATTTATTGTTACTTGTATTCTTGACAATTGTCATTTGGACTGGAGTGAGATAAAATCTCATTGTGGTTTTAATTTGAATTTCTCTAATTGCTAGAGATGTTGAACACTTTTTCATATATTTGTTGACTGATCATATTTCTTCTTCTGTAAAGTGTCTTTGTTTACTAATTTATTGGGTTGTTTGTTTCTTTGGAGTTAAGTTTTTTGAGTTTTTTGTATATCTTGGAGATTAGTGCTCTATCTGTGCAAGTGGCACAAATTTTCTCCTATTCTGTAGGCCCTCTCCTTGAGTTTTTGATTGTTTCCTTTGCTGTGAAGAAGCTTCTTAATTTTATTGATTCTTGAATTTACTTCTTGAGATTTAGGAGTTGTCCTGGTTACGATGGCTCTGGAGTTTGTCTTTAATGCTGTATAACCAATGTGATTCTGCAACCTGTACACTTGGAAAAATGAGAAATTATACCCCATTTGATTCAAATGTATGATATGTCAAGATCATTGTATTTTCATGAGCAATAAAAAAATTAAGAAATAAAAAAACAGACGTGATGCCTGCAGCTTTGTTCTTTTTACTACATAGCTTTTTGCTATTCATGGTTTTTTTGTGCTTGAAATGAATATTAGGAGTATTTTTAACTAGTTCTGAAAGAAATATTTTGATGGGGGTCACATTGAACCTGTAAATGATTTTTGGTAGCATGGACATCTTACCAATATCGATTCCTTCAACCCATGAACATGGATGGATGCCTTTCCTGTTTTCTGGGATGTCTTCTTCTATTATTTGTCATTGTTTTGTGATCTTCATTAGGGTGGTCTTCCACCTGCTTAAGTTTCTTTCTCAGTGTTCTCTTAGAGTTTTGCAGCTATTGTATGAATGGAATTCTTTCCTGTTTTCTTTCTCAGCAAATGCATTGCTGGTGTATGGAAAGGCTGCTGACTTTTCTATGTGGACTTTATATCCTGCTACTTTCCTAATTCATTTATCAGTTCTAACAGTCATTTGGTGGAATCTTTAGGATTTTCTACATTTAGACCCTTATCATCTGCAAACAAGGAAGTGACTTACTCCCTTCATTCTCCCTTTATTTCTTTGTATCTCCTAATTATTTTGGCTATAATTTCTAGTATTGTATTGAATAAGAATGGTTTGAATGGACACATTCTCTTATTTCTGATCTTAGAGAAAATTCTTTCAGCTTTTCCCCATTAGTATGATGTTGGCTGTGGGCTTGTCATAAATATCCTTTATTTTGCTTAGGTATTATCTTCCCAAACATTATGTGTTCAGGGCTTTTATCTTGAAAGGATGTTGAATTTCATTAAATGCTTTTCTGCATCCTTTGTGAAGATCATGTGATTTTTATCCTTCTTCTGTTGATGGGATGTATAATGTTTATTAATTGCTTATGTTGAGTCATTCTTAGATCCCTGGGATGAAACCCACTTGATGGTGGTGAATGATCATTTGATGTGTTGTTGAATTCAATTCAGTAATATTTTCTTGAAAGCTTTTGTGTCTGTTGTCATAAAGGATATGTTTTAGTGAGAGCTCTCCAGATAATCACAACGTGTGTGTGTGTGTGCGCATGTGTACACAAATTTATTGTAGGAATTAATTCATGAGATTATGGAGGCTGAGAACTCCCATGATCTGCTATCTGCAAGGAAACCTAGTGACATAATTCAATCCCAGCTCCAGGACTCAGGAACTAGAAGGGCCAATGTCCACGGGTAAGAAAAGATGGATCTCCCAGCTCACATTTCCTCCATGTTCTCAAACATCTTGTTCAACAAATTGGATGAGACCACCCACACTGGGGAAGGCAATCTGCTTTCTCAATCCACCAATTGTAATGTCAATCTCTGTAAAAACACCCTGACAGACTCTCACATAAATAATGCTTCATCAGCTGTCTGGGCATCCCATACCCCAGTCAAGTTGATACAGAGAGCTACCCATCTCGGACATTTAAGCAGACTTCTCAAAAGTGAAAAAGAATTAACCAATCAAAGAACCAAGATACCTAATTGTCAAGAAGATAGACAATAGCAAGTATTAAACAGGGAGAGGAGAAATTTGAATCCTTGGGCATTGATTGTGGGATTATAACATGATGTAGGCCCTTTGGAAAAGGGTTTGGTGGTCCTCAACAATGAAACATCATCACCATATGACCCTACAGTTCAACTTCTAGGCATATATCCAAGAGAACTGAAGACATACGTCAGCCTAAAACTTGAACTTGAATGTTCACAACTGTATTATTCACAGCAGCTTGAAAAAGAAAAACGACCCAAAGCCCATGGGTTGATGAGTGGAGAAGCAAAGTGTGCCATGTGCTTGCAATGGAACATGACTCCACCAGGACACAGAGGAGGTGCCGATGCATGCTGCAGCAGGGGGGCCTGGGGACATCACCAGGTGGAAGAAGCCAGACACACACAGTCACCTGTGAGTCTGCTAGTGTGAAATTCCCAGAATAGGCAAAGCCATAGGTGAAAACTAGGTTAGTAGTTGCTGGGGATAGGAGGAAGAGAAGAATGGGGAGCAACTGCTAGTGGGGACATGTTTCTTTTTGGGGTGATAGAATTTTCTGGAGTTAAATACTGTTGATGGTTGCTTGATCTTTTAAAATTTAAAAAGGCATATTTTCTTGTGTATAAGTTTTATCTAGGGGCTGGGTTGTGGCTCAGTGGTAGAGTGCTCACCTAGCATGCATGAGGCACTGAGTTCAATCCTCAACACCACATAAGTGTAAAATAAAGATATTGTAAAAAAAAATGTTTTATTTAAATGCAATAAAAATTTTTAAGAAAGAGCCTATATCAGAGATAAATAATACACATACAATAGATGCACATATTTATTTTCAAACTTTGTAGTGCCATGTCCAGAATAATAAAGCTGACAAAAGCTAAAATAAATACATACTTTAAAACTGTTAAATATTTTAAATCATAATTTAAAACATGATACAAAACACAAACAGACCACATTTATGCATCATAGTTATTTCTAATGCAGAATATATAAATATTTACAACATTTGAGCAATTTCAGAGAAAATAATTACTCTTTCCATATGTAATCTGATCACAATAGTCCCCCTTCCCTGAGTCCTTATGCCCCTTAAGAACCACTGCTTTCTCATCTTTATCACACCTCCCTGTTTACTGCTGGCTCCACCACTGCCAACATTCAGGCAGCACTTACTTGAAATGTTCCTTTTCAACATGCTAAGTTAAAAGAAATGTGGGAAAGCTTTGATGTGGGCAGCTTTGGCACTTACTGACCAGGAATGTCTCCTTGTCAGTGATACCTGGAAGTTCCTTAGGAATTTTAAACTCTCCTTAGAAACATAATGCTCGCACATACAAGCTTCCCCCTCTTCCAGGACATCTAACATACAGAATAAAACAACTAAGAAATAATCATTAGACATTCGTTCTTTGAAAATCCACTGATTGGATCTTCACATGATGAGTTCTTATGTATTGAAACCTTATGTAATACAAAATAATTATGTGATAATATCTGACAAACACCTTTGTAGGAAGGT